TTCATTCTGACTTGAAATGAGTATTTTTTGAGCTCAAAAGTTTTTCCTGAGAAACAATTTTCCTTCCTACTCTATCCAGAGGGACCAGTCAGAAAGAACACTCTGTTTTCTATTACTATTTTTGTCCCTACTCTTTTTTTTTCCCACTTTTCTTCTTTTCTCTTATCTCCTTTTTTTTCCACTTTCATTTTCCTTCCTTTTCTTTCTTAAAAATGCCCTATCTGTTGCAGAACAGAAGAAACTTGAGCCTGGAACCAAGATTCTTTGCTCATGCTTTCCTCTTTTCCTCTGTTTATTCAGAAGGAGTATGAAAAGAGCTATATTAAGTTGAAATTTTATTCTGCTGTCCTCTGTTCAACAAAAGATAGTCCACTAAAGCCACTAAATCACAGATAACACTTCTCTGGGCAACATTATTAGGAACTGACAGCTGGTGATGGATGAAGATCTCATCTTTTAAAGAAAAATATACATTTAATTTCCTTTGTACATAAAATAGCATTGTGAATCTAAAGATAAAAAGAGACCCAGTGTATGCTGGGTGCCATACTTAAGGGGATATAATACTGGGTCTGTGTTTCTGAGCTTACATTTTCAAATTAATTTAGAAACCACTATTCTTCAGTTCTTAGTAGAAAATGAACTGAGGGTGACATTTTACAGCCAGTTCCATTAGAAAAGAGCAGTTCAGAGACTGAGCTGTTACTTTTTAGGAGGAACACTGGAAGACAGGACAGAAAGAAGAGGGAGAATGGATTATGTAGGGCAGAGAGATGGGTTTACCCCTGATCCTGCCTGGGATTAAGCCATACTCCTGCAAGCCACTGGGCCTCCTTGAGGCTGATACCATAATGGATTTGGTACTGAACACGCACAATGGAGTTGGTGTTGAACACCAAGGATCTCATCAACTACCTTCAAACAGACATGCTAAATAAGTATGGTCATTTTTTTCCATCAACTGAAGCACATCAAGCCAGACTCCAAGTATGCTGGGTGAAAGTGCATAAATCTCTTCTACAGAGGCACTGGGAATACACAGTACTTCCTTATTCCTGCTTTTCGAGTTTTGTTTTGGGTTTGTTTTTTTTTCCCAAATGACCTCAGACTATACTACTTTTCTTTTCACATTTGCAATGTATAACCGTATTTTACATGTCCTTTCTGCAGCACTACCAGCTGCTGCTTTGGTTGAATTTAATTTTAACACACCTCCCAAGCAGCACAAAGATGGTGAGGGTGAAAGTTTAATTGCCTGTCTGCATTAAGCAAGACAGTTAAACATGCAGTTAAAGCTCATGTTCAACAATAAAATATGGTCGGTCTGATTCCAGTGGTATGAAAGACTGCTTTGGGCTCCTGGGGTGAGGACAAGTTTAAGAAAAACATATGCATGGAGTTTTTGTTTCTAAGTCTAGAGACTATTTGTGTGTTGGCTGAGTCTGGCTGCAAGTCCTTGTAGGAATAGAAGGTCTACCAGTGAGCAATTACCTTCTTTTGATTAAAACCTTCTAGTTAGCTAGTCTAAAATAGAGTGGAAATTTTTTTCGGAACTGTACTCCACTGAAGGATGAAAAGCAGTTTTCCACTGAAAACACTGACAAAAAGCAGCCTTTCTAACCATAAAAGTTTATGGAAAATTCTTTGACCATCTTCATGTAAAAATAGTTATTCTGCTTTCCCTAAGACTTCAGATCATTCCCTGATTTTCTGTTTCTTTATTCTTTTTTTTTTTTTTCCAGTGGACATAAGGTAGTTAGTAGCAAAGGATAATATTAGGCTTTCCCATTTCTTGCAGAAAGAAAAGCCTCTGGAAAATACAAGTTATAAAAATGAAACTTGCCCTGGACTTGTGCTGGAAATTCAAACATAGCAACTCAGAGCAAACGCAAGATCATCAAGAAATACAAGGGTCTATGTAGTTATTTCAGAAGGTGAAACCTACCGTTTTAAGCTTCACCTATACACATGCACATACAGTTAAACAAAAAGTGTCCATGTAAAACATCCAGTGAACCGTGACCTTTAAATCACTCCAAGCTGCTGCTTCTCTGTGAAGAAATGGTTTTCTCTGCTTTTTAGAAATGGTGCCCAGCTGATGATGGGGTATGTTTAAGTAGCTTTTCAGAAGTTTCTGCATTCTATGTTCTGGTCAAAAACTCCCACCACTCACCTCTTATTATGCAATAACCTACCTTTTTTGGGTAGCTGGAGCCACTTTCAAGACCTTGGAGGATCACTATTGGCAAGACTGTTCTCTGCATCTTGATTCTAAATGTTTTTAACACCCAGCTGCTCATCCAGATGTATTTAGGAGCTTTGAAACTCAACTGTGATGCTATTGAGCAGGTTTTGAAACCTTTTTTGGATCACAGCATCTACAGCTTTTGCTAAACCTTTCCATCTGTGTTACAGCTGAACTAAGAACATTTTCTCTTTTGGGTCATCCATGAGTCTGCAAATTTGAAGTGCTATAGGAGAAACACACTCAATAAGCAGGATCCACAGGGCTGATCTCATACAAAGAGCTGGTTAGCATTTTGGACTGCACATAGCTGCCGCTAGGAAACATCCAGCTACACTGAGCTCTCCCTATCCCTGGAGACAGGTGCCCCAGATCCCCTCCACCTCTATGCCCAACTGCTGTTCTTGTTATGGAAGATCCCAGAGACCAACCTTGCCACAGTTTCTTTGAGCGATAAACCCTTTCTCCTTTCTTGTCAAAACAGGGATTTTGAAACTAATTTTTCAGTCCACATACACGCAGACATTTAGCCAGACTTCCTTCTTTATTTCTAATTTCAGCAACACTGACTAGAAGATCTGTCTTCTTCAGTCCTCTCTTTTACCCCTTTAATACTTCACACCTCTCACTAAAGCCTTGTTTTCATTCCCCTCAGACAAGTATATGCCAGTTACCAACGAGGATGCAAAAACATCAATCAGTGTCTCAGACTGACAATTGCATTTAATTACCACTGACCCTCTCAGCTACAGATGTTCAGAATAACAGTTCAGGAATTCAACAAGGTTGTTCCCAGGTGCCTTAGAGATAACCAGAAGTGCTGTAACATGGCTTTCAAAAGGATAGGTCAAATAAGCAGCCAAACTAAGCACGAGTCCTGAAGCAATTGAAGTTTGCCTCTCTTGCTAGTGTTGTGAACTATAATTCTCCACATTTCTGGAGTGCCTTCTGCTTTAGGATGCATGACAACTTAAGAGACTTTAATTGACTCTCAACACACCTTTCATAAATATTATTTCCATTTCAATGGCCAAGAAAAGCACAGCATAAAACATGAAGCAATTGTCCAAGTGCATGGCAATAAAGAGAAACTGCTGAAATAGCTCTCCCCGTTTTATGAAAAGTACAGTTTCTGTACCTGCCAAAAGTTTTTCTTTTTTTTTTTCTTTTCTTTTTTTTTTTTTAATTCATGGATGAGTGAACAGCATTAAAAAACAAGAGGTGGGTGGTTTTTTTAGTGGATTGTCAATAGATATGGGCTGTCTCTTAAAAGGGAAGTTGAAGAGAAGGGCAAGTTGGAAAGTTTTCCAACTGCATGTCAGTGTTTCTCAGAGATGCCAAGATAAATCCTTCACTTTCCAGAGATGCCACTTCAAAGGCAGTTACAAATATGCCCTCAGAAACTACAGGAAATTTAGCGCCTATAAAAAAAGGGAGCAGTGGGAGGACCCCACAACCAGCAAGCAACCACCTAAAACTGGGTCCTAAGTTATGACATAAAAAGTGTTCTCCATAGAAGTAATTATTTACAACCACATTCCAGACCTGCTGAAATAAGATGACCGTTCCAAAATAGTTTTGTGGGATATCAAATTACTAAACATACACAGGATATTTCAGTGAGTGTTTTGTTCATCAAGAAACCTGATAAGCCTAAGGCCTTCATGAAAGAGAAATATCTTTGCTTCTTCCCCTGGGGGAAGGGGTAGCTTTTCCTACACATGTTCCTAGAAGGCCATGTGTTTATTTCAGGGGTAGTTTTGGTCCATGGTGTGAGCCAATGTTGCAAGACTGGGAGCTGATCATGCTTCTCCATATGCAAAGCAATGGCAACTTCCCCTCTCCTTCAATCAAGGCTCAGCAAAGGAAGATATGTGTCCTCTGGGAAGGACATAGTGAACTTGCAGTGCCCATAGAAGATGCATCTATCCCACAGAACGTAAAGAAACATTTCCAGTAGTCCAGCTAGTACCCTAACAGTAGCAATGATGCTGCAGGAGCCTTAACTCAGAGAATACTCTGTCAGTGTAGTCAATGCATTGATGTCCTTTGAGCAAGCAATCTTGCTGCTGTCAGTGGAACCGAACCAGAATTTGATTTTAAAAGTTGAAAAAATGCTTAGCAAGGTATGCAGTTTTAATTACTCCTTATCTGTCCTATTTTATATCTTACTTACCTAAGAATATTGTTTTATGTCTTAGGTAAAACTAATGACAAAACAATTAAACCAGTTTCCTTCTTGTCTAGGTCTAGCACAGCTTAATGCCTCCATATTCTATTTTTTCAGTTGTTTCCCTATAGCATTTATGATTACCTCACTCTCTTATTGCTCCTCTTATTCCTCTCCTGGTTGGTTTAATTTGTTAGTATATTTATTTAGAACCAAAGATATATATGATATTGAACAGGGAAATACACAAACACATGGCTCCAACTTTGTTCCAGATAACCTGCAACAGTTTCTGATGGTCTTCACAACTCTATCAGAAGAAAACACACACAAAACATGGCTAAGATACTTCATGTAATGCTTTATGAATTGATTTACAACTCTCTAAAAATCAGTGTTGATTCTTCTTCCTGAGAGAAAGACTGGACCTCATCACAGAAAGGCTGAAGAAAATTAAGTGCTGAGGGAAGATTTACATGAGGACAAGGAGGCTACCCTAAATAAAGTGTTAGATTGCATTTGACACATCTTGCAGAGAAGAAGGAGACCACACCTCTTCCAAAGCCAGTTCCAAAAGGATTTACATATAGGTGTCACTGAATGCTTTGAAACTAGAATCTACTGTTAATCTGTGCTCTACCACTCCATTCCTCTGAAGAGGAGTTTTACAAGTCTGTTGTTACACTTTATCAAAAGCTTCATTTCATTTGAAAAATTGACTAGATGCTTCTTCATTGAACTGTCTCAGCAGAAGTGTCGTGAACGTTAGCGTGGTTTCCTCTAACAGCAAACATTCAGCAAAGACAACTATAAAAAGACAAGCATTTCAGAAGAATTCATCAAAAGATAAAAAAAAAATCTGTGCACGTGCACAAATATACAGGTAATAATATATGTAAGATGAGCTTTGCCATTATATAGTGGTTCAAGATTCTGTTACAATACTTGTTCACAGAGAACCAGCACAGCTTTTAGTGAGGAAGAATTCTTCCAACTTAAACAGAGAAGTTCCAGTGCAAAGGTCCTGCCTGCATGAAGGTATCAATAAACAAAAATCTAACCACAGCTAAACAAATGTTATTTGACCAATTACCAGCTGACGCTCTGTATACGCCTCTGGACAGCCAACTTCCTGGAAATGAAACACAAGAATATTATTTAGCCAAAAATGGACTCACTGTTCCGAACAGTTCATATGCCTGTGGAGTCCCTTCCAAGCTTAAGAGCCTGAAGTCATGCAGGGGCTCCCTGAAGCAGCATTTATCTGGTCACGCACATCTAGATGACAGCACTGTTGTTCTCATTAGGATGACAACTTCTAGTACTGACAAGTGACTCCTGCAATGTTATTCCTTGCTGAAGCATCTCAGTTTTGAATGATAGGGATTGAAAAACAATAGGATATTCTCAGTAGAATAATCAGCTATTTTTTTAATTGAGAATTGATATATGCAGCCTATAGAACTCTGTGCAAATGGATGCAAACAAAGAGTTTCATATAATACAGTGCCTTTTGGACTGATCTCACAGTTACTTATATATACACCAGCATGAATTGTTCAGTGCAATCCCCCCCTCCCGTGTCTGTTCCTGATACTGGATTAAAAAATACGACAGTTCAGACTGAGACTTTTTTTTTTTTGCAGAGGCACCAAAGTAGGCTTGCTCAGTCACTCTGTCTTGAGACGGACAGCCTCCCGCCGTTGCTTCTGAACAGTCCTAGAATCTTCCCACAGACGGGGTCCTCTGATGTTCTCCCAGTTATCCAGGTCAGACTTTTCCAGCTTCTGCAGATAAACAGCAAAAATAACAGTGTCACCTTGACAGCCCCATGATTTAAGTAGGTATTATTCTAAATTGTTTTCTTTTTGCACAAGAAACTCAGTATCACTATTGGGTTGATGAACTTTCATCTACCCTGCAAGAGAAGTTCAACAACAAGGAAAAAAAATGTGGGAGTTATCCATATAGCTACATAAATGACTAGGGTGGGCATTACTTATCAACAGATAAATAGCATGTAGGACAGGAAGCACTATAGCATCTGAACACAACTGAAGATATCTTGTATTCACTTTTTCTTTCTTCTCTCACCTAGTTTTCCAGATCTGTTCTCCAGCTGCAAGTCTGCCAAGTACTGACGTACTAGGAGTGATAAGCATTGGTATAGCTCAAACAGAAGATTAGTAATTAGTGACCTGAAGTATCCTGTCAGCACAGATATAAAGCATACCAGAAAAGATATATTATCTAGCACAAAGAGAGACAGTAACAGTGCAATCCCCTTCAATCCATGATGTGGTTTTAACTTGAGAGAGGTATGCAATGCTTTCTGCTGCCTAGTTTCTCATGGCAGCCAACCATCACAGATTGGTCTCTCACTAAGTCATACATGAGATACGCTAACTGGCCGAACTGTGAGATACTTAAAAACTATCTAATTACCTCCTTGTCTATTCCTATCATGCCCACTCAGAAGTACCAATGACTGCAGTATTTATCTAGCCTTAGAGGCGCACAAAAATGAAGAACAGGTGCCCTCCTGATGTCACCTACCAAGTGCTGCAGTTGAAGATGACAAACATATACTGCACCTTCACAGTCCTACAGGCAGACACAGAAGTCCCTTCCCAGCAGCCACAGACGTCAAGTCTCATATACCGGCCTGCAGTCTGGAACGGTACATCAGACATGACGGGGCTCTGCCAACAGGAGACTGAGGAGGGGGTCTGCACCACTGCCAGAAACAGGGCTATTCTACACGCTACTGAAAAGGGCAATACTGTATACCATTAATGATACGTACTGCAGTGGGATTTAAACCTCTGATTTGTGATCAGGGTCTCATCTCAGCAAATGCTGTAAAAATACACCAGAAAATACTTAACCCTGCCTTGAGCCTGTGGTCTAATTTCCCTGCCTTCCATCATCCAAATAAATGGCAAATACTGAGGGACTTGAATAATAGTCGCAGAATAATTTAACAGCTAGAACAGAACAGACCGGCTGCTATTAGTTCATGTTATGTAAAAGTTTTCTGCCATTTCTACAATTGAGGAAATTGCAATGAGGTTAGTCAGATATCAAAAGAAATTAGGCAACATTGAACAGAAGATATATGAGAATGCACGCACAAACACAGCAGACTTTCACAAGGTAGGAGCAACTAAATTTTTTATACACTGGAGTTGGCATAGGTCTTTCTGAAGAATTCTCTTTACTACTTTATACATCTTATGATTAGCTGGTACTTCACTTCAACCAGAAGGGATCCAAGCTGACATGGAAGGAGGGAGAAGGAGGGAAGGTACCCATCATCCCACGCAGCAGCGACTATCCACTCTGACTGCAAATTCAGAATTTAACATCTAATTCTAATGGAAGCTTCAAGGAAACTACACTGAAAATAACCTTGTGCTTTAACAGAAGGGAAGCATGCTGATTTTATTAAACACAAAGGTACCACACAGCTGTGAGGATCTAAATTATTCCCAAAGGTACTCAGCCCCCAAAGTCTGAACAAGAATCAACATTTAAAATATATACAACAAAACTTGTAGTATCTAAAGATAGGCTACAGAAAGAAGTCTATCAAGACAGACATGCATACCAAGTTCATATTAATCTGCCCCTGAAACTTCAAAGGCTTTCCAGAGAGGAGGTTTGTCCAAAACAGGAAATATTTCAAAACTATACAATCTAAACAAACCCGTACAAGAAAGTATTTTGGCAGTTTCCAACGGAAAGCATAAAGGTACCTGGAAAACACACTGTGATATACTGATAGAATAAAACAACCAAGAGTTATGTACAGTGAATGGCATTGCTTCAAACTACAGATGAGATCTATTGACAGAGTTAGTTTTTGTCAATTAAAATATAAAGAATTAAAGATTCTAATGAATACATAGAGACACTTTTTAAAAATTTTCTATTCTCATTATATTTATAGAGATCATTAACATTTTGTGTCATGTCTAAAGACTGTGTTTGATACCTTGCTGCAATTCAAGAAGAAAGCACGTTCCTTACTGGCACACGACAGTGTCTGCAAAAATTAGTCGTTTACAGGACAAATGTCTGTTCAGCCATTAGAAGGCAGCATGATTAGACAACCCAATTTTCTAAACTGATGCTATCAAGTTTTGAAAGAATAGAGGACTCCTGTTGCATGTGGATAAGCATAAGAGTATCACAGGTAAAAGCAAACCCGAAAATCTGTTCTGCAGTGCTTTCCTACTCTATAGCTATTTTCACACGTATCTGCCTCTGCTGTTTTTGACTGGGATAGAGTTGATTTTATTCATAGTAGCTAGTACGGAGCTATGTTTTGGATTTGTGCTGAAAACAGTGTTTCTAACACAGGGATGTTTTCATTATTGCTGAGCAGTGCTTACACAGAGGCAAGGCCTCTTCTGCTTCTCAGCTCACCCCACCAGTGAGTGGGCTGGGGGTGCACAAGAAATTGGGAGGTGACACAGCTGACCAAAGGCATATTCCAGACCATATGAGGTCATGCTCAGCATATAAAGCTGGGAGAAGGAGGAAGTGGGGGATGTTCAGAGTTACAGCTCCCAAGGAATGGTTCCCAAGGAAACGCTATGTGATGGAGCCCTGCTTTCCTGGGGATGGCTGAACACCTGCCTGCCGATGGGAAGTGGTGAAGGAATTCCTTGTTTTGTTTTGCTTGTGTGCATGGCTTTTGCTTTACCTGTTAAACTGTCTTTATCCCAACCCACCAGTTTTCTCACTTTTACCCTTCTGATTCTCTCTCCCATCCCACCGGAGCCGGGGAGTGAGCGAGCAGCTGTGTGGTGCTTAGTTGCTGGCCAGGATTAAAACACGACACTACAACACATACAACTAAACAAAACCTAACCTTTTTGCTTGGTCACTTACATGAAAATTCTTACAACGGTATAACCTCAGAATAAATGGCTACATTAGATGTAGGCCAAAGACATGTATGCAGCTACTTTTAAAATTAACTTAGTGCTGAGAATAAGACCAAACTGACAGTCCTTCTATCGATTAGGTGCAGCACAAGCTGCAAAGTTACACGGCTCCTTCAGATTGCCTGAGCTGTACAGTGAGAATTCAGGCAAGCAGCCAGTTCTCCTCTCAGATGAGCTCAACCTCTTTCATTCTAACTGGCTGGTTCTTTTAATTTCTTACTTTATTTCTTTTTTTCTTTTTAGCCACCTGGACTCTGCCCACCTAACTTCATGGAGACATCACATAAAGATGGTAAACTACTTCCAGCTTTTACTAAATTGAAATCCATATGAACTGGCAGTCTAAAAACCAAAAAGCTTTTTCTCCCAATTCAAATGTACTAAATAGTATGTCATTGGAGACTACAATGAAATGTAATCGGATCAGACCAGCACCACTTTTCCTGCTTGTCTCAAATAGCCCAAAGGATATTGAAAATTAGCTGTTTAAAGTAAGATCAGTGTAGTCCATTAAATCTACTGATTCACTTCCTAAATCAGCTAAACTGCCTCTTAAAAGTACAGGACTGACAGAAGCTGTAAATTCAAGAAAAAAAATGCAGCTATGCAGACAGGCACAGCGAACAAAAAAAAAAAAAAAAGTTCAACTGTTTGCCACACACTTGACTTTTAGGAATTTGTTAAACAGCTTGCCTGGTGCAAAGGTACCAATAAGGATGTAAAGAGACCTTCAATTCTTAATTGCTGGTTATGCCTGACTTGATATTATGTAAAAGCCATAATCCTCTATCAGCTTTAAAATACAATAAATTTTAAAAAGAGTTTGAATTCTACTCTTGCAGTATAGTCTTCATGCCACAATAAACACTGAAATCTGCAGAAATTCATTTAGAGCTATTGGTGCTCTGGCTGAGTTAATTCAATGTGGTCACTTGCTAAAAATGTTTGGCTTTAGTCTCTGTTTCCCACACGTGAAAGGAGGGATAAGAAAATCCTGTTTACTTTACAGCTTGATGCAAAAAATTCTGTGATGAGCACCACAGAAAGAAACTGCTCTAATTCAGAGAGACAATCATTTCCCATCCTTATAGTAAGCAAACCCATTGTATTGGGTTTGTGTGGCAAGGTTTTGGTAGTGATGGGGCTACAGGGGTGGCTTCTGTGAGAAGCTGCTGGAAGCTTCCCCTCTGCCTGATGGACAACCCACCACATGTCCCAGTCAGAAAAATGAAATAGATTAGGAAAACAAATACATACTGGTTATGAATGAATCCTATTTAAGCATAAGACTATGCAAACACTTGAACTGGCACAGCTGAAGGAATCACTGGGTGAAGGGAGAACAGAAACATCTTTTAGCGGCTATGTTGTAAAAGATGTGTATCAAGGAACTGCACCACCAATTTGTCTCTGCATCATCTTCCCAATTTGAAGAATGAGAACAGGACTTGCCTCCATCTCAGAGGTGTCACAGAGTTTAATTAATGTTCACAGAGTGCTCTCATAGTTTTGTGTGAAGATGCTATAGTGATACAAACTACTCAGTAAACAAAACAATTACAGCACTCAGTTAAAATGACATGATTATGCAGCCTTGAATTTTTAAAATAACAGAAAATAACATTAGGCAGATAGACTTCCATCTAGGAATTAGGGTTTGCCATGATTTCCTTCTAACTGACAACCTCCTAACTGACAATCCCTTCTTAAAATGAAGAATGTCTTAAAAACCACATTAAATCTCAGAGGATAACCCAGTGCCATTTATGCATTACACCTGCAGATCACCCAAGATGGACTTCTCGGTCTAAAGGATTCACAAGCTCTATGGG